TTCGTCGGCCTACTGTTAAGTTTAAATTAAAAGTTGGTTAGTCTGCGTTTCTTGCCTATCATCTCCGCTATGCATCTTCTTAAATATACTCTAAACTTCATTTCTGATATCTTGATTTTTAAGCATTTAAAATAAATTAAGTACACCGTTACCTTTATTTAGCCACATAAGTGAATTTTGGATCCAGACTACTCTTCCAAGCCTCTCTAGGGAAGTACTACCTTATAAACAATGATAAGATGGGTAGATTCGTGTCTACTCCGTGTCGGAATAGGGTTAAAAACGTCACCCGCATCAGGTACTTGCTCTCCAACGCCATAATGACGTTGGAGAGCAAGTACGGAACTATACTTCTTTTTATTTACAAAAACCGTTTATATTTGATAAGCTGTTACGGTGACATCTAATCGAGAGATTGGATGACACCGTAAAAGCTGATGAAACGTCAACGGTCTCTGTAAATAAATTGAAGTATATCGTGGGAAACAAACAGATGGATCTACGAATTATAGTATGGGACCCAAGGACTGGCAAGACAATTATCGGAAGACTGAGAACACGATGGTCAGATGATATAGAAAGAGGATTGTGAAGAATGTAGACCAGAACAGCAGGAGATTGCACAAAATGGAGAGAAGTCACACACTCAACGAAGTCTATAGAGAAAAAGGATAACAGTAACAAACAGTAGCAGAGACACAACAATAAAGAGCACAACGAAAAGTGAACTGTAAGTGAAGTGATAGTGAAAAGTGTTAGTAAAGTGATAATTAGACTTAAAGAAAAAGAATGGACCAGTGAGAAGTGAAGAAAACATAAGACTAAAAATATTCTTAGACTCAATTATTCTAAACAAGCTATCTAGGTTATATAGAATAGTTTAGTCTTAACCATACTACGTGATATGAACACACTAATAATTAAGGTGTGGATTTTGATGACCTAAAAAATAGCCAAAAATGATCAATAAATGCTCTTGAAATGTTTTTAAAATGCCCTAAAAGCAAAGAAAAATGACGTTAAAAATGTGATCAAAATCAGTTCTCATGAACAGCTAAAGCTGAATACGTAACTAATGTAATCGAGGCTGCTTCCATTCGTTCACGTGTACTCATCTTGCAGAATTTTGGTTTGGACTGCTCTTTTCCAGGAAATTCCTGTCTTTAGTTATCCCGAAATCGGCTGAACCGGCACTGGTAGGCGTCACAGGAACCATCGATTACATACAAGGGCTGACAACACAATTTCTAAGAGAGAAAAAACGAATACGCTACTCAGGAATTCTGTGTAGAACATTTATTGCATCTCGTAAATATTATTTGAAGCAAGTACGATTAAAATTATATTAAAATCAATAAAATCATTGAAAATAATCATTAAAAATGACGTAAAAGGTAAAAAATGACTAATTAGAAGAAATCAACGAAATGCAAGATAAATAAATAAAAATCGGTCATTTTATTTTGTCATAACTAAAAATTAATTTTTATTTTCTAATTGTTCTAAATAGCATTGTTCTAAAATGAAAAGAACACAAATGACATTTTTATTTAAATACTAATGATGACGTCTACTCCTAATGATATAGTGATGAAGCGGGGGGGGGGGGCGTACTCCGCACGACGCTCGTGGCCTCGCGCGCGGCGAGGTGCTAGGCGGTGTCGCCGCGGCGTCCGGGGGCGGGTCGGCGCCCAGCGGCCAGCACGCGGCGACGGACGCGCTCGCGGCCGGCGGCCGCCGCGAAGGCAACGGGGCGGTCGACGCGCGCGGCGGCGCCGCGGGCGACTCCTTCCGCCGCTTCGGCGCGCTTGGGCTTGCGTCGGCGTCCGCGCCCCACCCAGCAGCAAGCGCCGCCAGCCGCGGCTCGCGCTGCGCGCCGAGCGCCAGGTGCAGGGCGTGCGCCAGCTCGCGTCCCGCGCCCTGCCGACGGAGGCGGACAAGGGTATCAGGCGCTGCAGCGCGGCAGGTCGTACAGTTCCTGCTCGGACGGTGGCAGGATGGCTTGGTCGAGTGGCCGGAGCAGTACCGTAACAAACAGGCCACGGACCGGGCGATCTTTCGTTCCTTTTCCTTGTCCTATCCTCACCCCTTACATACACACACGTACACGCACTACACTACATGCACACACATGCCGGGATACCGCTTGAGAGCGTAGAGCTTGTCCGAGCTGTGGCCGTGCCCCGCTGGTTGGGGAAATGCCGCTAGCCGATTGGAAGGTCGACGCCGGATCTGACCATCCAACGAGGGAAGATCATCACCACATCGCGAGAAAAAACATACTCTGCATTTACAGGACTAATGACCTTAGCATGTGACGCGCCCGGAATCATTAATCAATCAGTTACCCCCAGATGGCGTGGTAAAACCTATTAAAATTTAAAGTAAACCACCCAAATATTCTAAAAATATTAAACAGATAACAACAGTTAAATATAAAGATTATTTTATATTTTTTTAAACAATTTTTCTTAGAATTAGGGTGTAGTAAATTTTAAATAATTGAAAAATATAAAACTTTATTTATATATAACGTATAATTAACAAGCACATGTCTTGTAAGAACAGATTTTTTAAAAGAACAAAACAATGAATCAAATCAAATAGTCCTACAATCATTCCATTCTTGTTTTGGACATTAAACCGAGAACACGTCAATGCAAAGGGCTTCCTTCGGAGGCGAAGTAAAGTAGGCTTTCCAACAATGTAGAGTTTTACTCTGTGTCGAGTCGAGTCATCGAGTCTAACAGTAGCCTCTAATTTAAATCGCCTTTACGTTCTTTAGCTGCCAAAAGGAGAAAGGAACATAGCGAAATTTGCATGGTCAGGCGCAAGAGCGGTCCTAATGTCTTGAGCCTCGCCACGGAAAATCAGACATCATTGAATCAAATCGAATCGAATCGCTGTTCTCTCATTTGTGGAGATGATGAAGAACGTAAAGTAACGTATATAGATTGCGTGTAGGATAAATTGATTAATTGGGGCGATCCATTTTCAATATCATTGAATCGAGTAAAGGTTTCGAGATACGAAACTTCAATATATACGGTATCGACATTTGATTAGATTTTTGATTGGTTTTTCGGTCGCGTAAAATACTATGGTCATTAGTCTCGTACTACGTGTAGTGCTTGAGGTGGCGTTGTTTCTTCCTCACTGGAACGTGAGATCTGCCCCGACCTAAATGTAAGTTTGCGGAGTTTTTCACCTCCAGGTGTCTCCCAACTGGGACAGTCTCTTAGCGTCCAAGTGGATTCCTGATGTGTGTGTGTGTGTGTGTGTGTATGTGTGTATGTGTGTAAGGACAAAGGTGACGATAATGAGGAACGAAATATAGCTTGCATTACGCGGCGTACTGCTCCGACATTTCCTCAAAATGATTTGAAAAACCACGGAAATCTATCAATTATAAAAACCAGCCGCACCAGCCTGGTGTTCATTTTGGCCATTCTGTGTAGCTAGGAGCGAAAATTCTTTACTATCGCAGTCACTTCAGCGGCAACAGCAACACCGTTAGTAAACCATTTCAGCCTGTTCTAAACTTTGAGACTAATACATTCATTTTCACTCCCTATCACTCTTTTTCTCTCTTCCACCGTTTCTCACTCCCTACTTTCCTCTCTCCCCCCTCGTGACTGACGTCTGCTCCTCGCCTTTCTCACCTCCTTATCATTCGTTCCTTCCTGCCTTCTTCCCAACCTCCCTTTTGCTATCAATCTCATTGGTATCATGCCTGAAATAAGTGTTTTCGCAGTTCAGGCTGATTTCTTAATCATAATGCGAGATGCTTAGTATGCGAATAGGGAGCGAGGTCATCGATCTGCCCTAAGGGTGCTATTTTGAGTAGGGAACGAAAAAGAGGAGTTTCCTCTCGCTGACCGTATCGCAAAGTGTTAGATTCTGGTTCGGCATGCGCCTGGAATATATTAGAGGAAACCATTGAGACAATGGATTACTCGTCCGCCGGCGAAATTCCTAAAATACTCGATTAAATAATTTGTTTCATTTTACCCACTTCCCTTGCAAACCCCTTCACCATATGTTACGTTCGGATGCTATTTGTAGATTCGCGATTAAGTATCTAATTATTTTATTTGCTCGTGCGCAAAACTAAAGTAAATTTTGTTCATTGCTGTGAGAACGCTCTCCATCAAGCGTTCTGCAAGGCAACGGGGTACTCATGGTGTGTAATGGCTAGCGCGTACGCCTGCCGTCGCTGGGGCTCCTGCTTGATCACCGGCGATTTTGTGTCGGGCAAAGCGAGCTCTCGTTAGCGGCTTCTCCCGTTTCCCCTGCCACTGCTCGAGTATCATTAATCTCATCATTATCGCTACCATGTACCAGTTTGATAATTAATCATTCTTGGGCCTGGATTACGTCAGGTCGGCTGATATAACTCAGGACTACAATGGTTGATCCACTGTGTCTGCCCTAGGGTTTGATTTGCTACAGTGGTGGATTTTCTATTCTAGGTTAAATTCGGCTGCTGTCTGGAAACGATTTCTATCGGCCAGCTGCTCTGATCGGTAGTTTTGCGTAGTTTCTCCGATCAACACCAAATAAATTGCGGAGTAATACCCTAACAAATGGACGAAAGGACCGTGCACGCGATCTTTCCTTCCTCTTTGTCCCATCCTCTCCTCCTATACTCACACTTAAACTCACGGATGTCGGGAGACCAGTCGGGCGCTTAGAGCGTGTATCAGCTGAGGCGGAGTCCCGTTGGTAAAGAGACTTGGAGGAAGGAAATCCTCGTAAGTAGACACGTAGATCGGCCACGGTTCTTACCTCCTAGCGGTGATCGAGCATTGCCGCATCCCGGTATATGACATGCATTTTTCTAACGGAACTAAAGGCTGTATCAGTTAAATTTGGAAATACAAAAATAACCAATGACCTCTGGGATAGAAGGATTCTTGGACCCAAATCAATTACGTACTGTAAATATTTCTATAAAACTAGAAGATTTTTTTTTAAGTGAAAATAGACGATGATGTCACCTCTGGGTCGGCGCGCTGCGGCGAGCAGCACAGCGGCGACGGCGGCGGCGCCGCGCTCGGCGGCCACGTGCAGGCGGTGCGCTGGTCGCTGTCGCGCGCGTCCACGGGCGCCGTGCCGGCCGCCAGCAGCGCCGCCGCCACCTGCGCGCGCCGCGATCGTCGCCGCGTGCAGCGGCAGCAGCGACCACTGCTCCGGCACCTCCCCGGCCAGCCCCTCCGCCACCGCCCCGCCCCCGTCGCCACGGCCGACTGCTTCCGCTGGCGCTGGCGTCGGCTTGGGAGTGGTGACTGCGCTGCCTAGAATTTAGAGAGTTGGGTTCCATAACGCACAAAGACAGAAAATGCTTTTTTCGCCACGTATACGTAGGAACATTTACTATTAGTTTATTAGATTCATTAATTAGTGATCAGGAGCGCGTCAACTGCTGAGATAATTAGTCCTAGAAGTTTAATGCATGCTTTAATCGCGGGAAGTGGCGGTGATCTTCCCCCGCTTGATCAGGCGGCGACCTACACGTCAGTTTGCGAAGTGTTCCCAACCAAATATCTCCCGTCAGCAGGGCATCGCCCCAACCCGATCATGTTCTGAGCCCCCGACCGGTCTCCGGACATATTGACGGTGTGTGCTTGTAAGTGTAAGTAAATGTATGTAAGTAAGGGGTGAGGATAGGACAACGAAAGGAAAGATCTCGCGCGATCCGTGGCCCGTTTGTTAAGGAACTGGTTCGGCGTTCGTCTGGTGTTGATTGGAGAAACCACGGATATCTACCGATCGGAGTAGTCGGCCCCTAGAATACTTCTCCCGGCAGCGGCTGAATTATTGTAGCTAGTCTCGAAATTCCTGCCACCGTTGCGACTCCATCAATTGCTTCTCTGGGCCACCTAAGGAGTTTAATGTATTGGAAAGTATTACTTTGCGGTGCTCGTATGGTAAACTAGACTGTGCCGTACGCGTTGCGCAAGGACAAGTCATCTAAAATATCTGGGCCGATGTGAATCAACGTAAATGTCACCTCGAATGTTGAAAATGATCCCAAAGGTAATATGCACGTGAAAATTATTCTAACATATATTCCATACGTTTACATGAATTTCTTCTAAAAAAAAATTATAAACGCTTCTTAAGCGATCGTGTTTGGCGTGTGCCACACTCGGCTGTGGCATTTCATTTCAAAATGCCACACTCGGCTTCTAGCGTAACTTAGTCTGTCACTATTTAATTCATAACGCCAAACAGAAACTTTATTTACTAGTTATTTAAATAACTATTTCAAAGGAATATTTTTGTATAAATAACTAAGGGTCTTTTGGAAAAAATATCAGTGTTTTCGGCTCTGCAGTTTCACGACTGAAATCTGTTGAGAGCGTATTTCTATCTGATAAGATGAAAATATAATCAATGATAACCAAAACATAGGGGAGGGGATATGACGTGTAATGTATTTTGGAAATGGTGGGTAACCCACCTCTTTAATTGGAAGTAATAACAATGCCTCACGCATTAACAACATTTGGCGGCAGATAGTCTCAAAATTACTAAAAGCGGCAGTAAATGCGAAGCGATATGAAGACACTCTGCAGACACTGAGACACCATAAAGGCAAATGCTCTAGAATGTTGTCAACCTTTTGCCTGATGATGCCCGTCTTCACACTTCCAATGTGGTGAGAGATTCGTTTTAGAGATTTGGCTGCGAAACCCCGCAAAATCCGTGTAGCTCAAAACTTTCCCCTTGCAATTTTCTCATTTTAGGCGTCCTGAACAAAGTCATTAGTGAATATACCATTCGGACGAGAAAGTGCAAGAGAGTGGTGAGGTTTTAAATCAGTCAGCGACTTTTTACAAGACTGGAATTAATTCATTATCTCCCAGTGAGATATATGTATTAACACACCTAGCAATTATTTTTGAACTAAAAAAATATTCCAATGTCACTGTTTAGAATATGTTCAGTTTTCATTTCACTGGTCCTCATTTTCGTCTCCTACATTCAATAAGTAGTTTTTTTATTACTAACCTGGAGTCAGAGACGAGAAGCACAAGTAGAGTAACATAAACATCGAAGCATCGTGAACTAGTATAGCTCGGCCCATGGTGAGTGATGTTGGAAGAGCTTCCGACAGCAATGAACGGTATCGTCAGTTGTCTCTTATATGTTCCCTCTATTACGCTTGTGCGTCACAGTTATTAATCCGTATCTCTGAGTTTAAGTGGGGTCAAATGGATGCTTACGAGAAATGTTGTGACAGAAAAAAACTAAACTTTTTATGTTACAGTGTTACAATTTACGAATTTTGTGAACCTGACCTCCTGAAATTGAGAGCTGTGGAAAACGCATAGGAATGCACCGATTGAAAAATTAGGGTTATTTAGTATATATACCATAAATGTAGTGTTTTCTCTTCGAAGGGATCTTCAGTTTGGATTTTATAATAATAATAATAATAATAATAATAATAATTATTATTATTATTATTATTATTATTATTATTATTGTAATTATTATTTATAATTACTAAAAACAAATACAAAATATGCCACAAAATCAAATTTGCTTACGTTAAAAGTAGTGTTCGGAACAAGTACTTCCAATAATTCTGTTCACAGTACTGCCAAAATATATTTATTGACTTAATAATTATTTCATATTTTATAGATGTAACTAAATTAATGAGTCACTAAAAAAACAAACTCATTGTCTTATATTTTCTAAATTTCTTTTACATTTGCTTGTGCAAATTTCAATTATATCGAGAATAAAAGTTTACTCGTACTTACACTCTGGCATTACTTTTATTTTTACTAATTAACTTGCATTACTTTTACCTGAATTAGATACTTGAATTGGAATTAGATACCTGAATTAAATACAAGTAAGCACAAATTAAGGAAATTTTTATCCGTTTCATATTGCAAAATCGACGGAAAATAAGATAGGTGCATGTGTAGTGAGCGTTGTCTTCAGCGCTAAATATATGTCGTCAGTGCTAGATGTATATGCTTCCAGGACACTTTGTCCACAAACATTCGTTTTGTCCATAAATAATTTGTCCACTGTATATATTGTCCAGTAATTAATTGGTCCACAATTATTGTGTCCATATCCTCTCGTCAATTTTTTTGTCCTTTTTCTTTCACGTCAACTAAAATGTATGTCCACAATTTAAATAATGTAATGTGTTGTAGTTTTCGCTGTAATGAATTAAAAATTAGTTTGGGAATGGCATCTTTACTTCGTTCGTCTACAAAAAAGATAAAATTCGAAGTGAACTAAACTGCTAGGTGGACGTAAATAATGTGAACGAAATGTTTCCGGACAATGTGTCTGGGCCCCGTATATATACGAAGGGGATAAATCCGATTTTCTGTGAGGTGATATGGGCTGAAAAAATGAGATGTACTAGAACAGGTCAAGAATTCTTCCCGTATGCGAAGGAGGTAGTGGAGTTCTGTGGAGCGGAGCAATAATGAGATCAGTAAAAGCAAAACAAAGAACATTTTTTTAATAAAACTTCATTATTTCATAACACAAACACTTGCAAATACGTATGTCTCTTTTGAAGTAATGTGGTTTAGTTATTTTACAATATTTTATTTGCAATACTCGTTCTTGCCGCACTTCAGAGTGCAAGGAGATGCACCGAGTCGCCGTTCTATCCCAAATACGCTGCCCCAGTCGTCAAAGCCTTCAAAGGTCGTCCCAAATCCCCGAACTCCAAACCCCAAGCCCAGTTCGTTACTGAACACAAACATAACACTATACTTCGCACCACTCACATCTCGGCACATGAGAAAACTCGCGTTATCTTCGCCGTCTGGGCAACCCTCATTCGTACTCAGACGGCGAGGGAATCTTACAGTCGCTGTAACTCCGGCGGCATAGGGGGAGTGTGTGTGTGTGTGGGGAGGGAGGGAGAACAGAGTAGAAATCTCCCCTCCATTGGCGCTCACCCGTCCGCAATCATTGTGCCTTGGTCTCCCATCAGCTATCTGTGCTGGCACATACCGCCGCTCACCCGCTGCCGTACTGATGTTTCTTTGGACGTGTTTGACCACGTCATACTCAAGTTCTTTTGTTTTTTATTTCCTTTCTCTTCTTTTTAATATTCCGAACTGTGAATTAATTACGAGGGCTGACTGGTTGAAGAAATATAAACCTTCGTTAGGATTAAAAAAAATTAAAAATGACTCAACGTAGAGAGTCAATGTGACTCCAAGAAATTACCGTATTTGTCAGTATATAAGACGCACTTTTTCACCTCTGTAACTCTTCAAAACCCACGATGCGTCTAATACAATGGATGGGAATTTTTGTAACTGTTTGAATGTTTAGTATACAGAATTGCAAAAATAATTTTTTACACTGAAACACAGGAATTTGTTTTTTTACAAAGTTGATTATTACAGAAGCTAAAATTATTGCAAGAAAGGAATCCTGAAAATTTCGTTGGGTTAACGTCGTGGCGTAGAAAATTTATGAAACACACAGTCTTTCCATTTGTGCTAAAAAAATATCATGGAGCCTCCCGGCGGAGTATGAAAAAAAGATCATTGCTTTTCACAGGTTACAATTCCCATTCCTTTCATCAAAATAAAACTCAAATGTAAAATTTAACATTAAAAAATGAAATGCTTCTTCCAAATAGGAGTGCGTCTTATACACCGGCAAATACAGCAATACTTTCACGACGTACAACGTAAGAGTATTTCAGCCCCCGAAAAATCTAAGCACAACAATTTGCATATCGAGCGCTGGGGCGCTAGGAGACGCAAGGGTGGACCCTGAGGCGCCTCGCATGTGCAGCCACAGGCGCTGCCTATGCTAATCTCCCTCGTTAGCGGCGTTGCGTCGTGGCAAGAAACACTCGGCGCGGCGGGGTGCACCGCTGGGCCCGCTGCCAGGGCGCCGTGTTTTATTCATGTCGTCCTAATGCAATGCCGAGGCCTCGCAATTAAATGAGTCTTCCTTCGCGAGCGCCGCCGCCGCGTCCCGCGCAGGTGGCGCTCGGCCGCGTGGGGAATCTCTCGGCCCGGCCGTTTTAACTGATTGACGTAATACAACCCTTTATTTAGGATTTTAAAAAAAGGGGGAATCAAAGTGACCCTAAGAAATTGATACTTGCACGACGTAGGATCTAAGAGGATTGACCGCTCCCGAAAAATCTAAGAACAACAATTTGCATATCAACCGTCGTAGCGCTAGGAGACGCAAGGCCGAACCCTGATGCGCCTCGCATGTTCATCAATTTTAACTGCTGTGGGGGCCTTGGGGTCTAGGTTAAATTGAGGGCCCTCTATTATTACTTTCACCGACCCCACCAGTTCGAAGACATGTTTGTTAAAAAATAAAACTTCTCATCACTGGGTGACTTTCTCGAATCAATCAGCAACATTCCGTATAACAAATACATTAATGCGCAGTTATCACTCCGTTATGCCAATTTTTTGCGCACAGTTTAATCACAATACATTTTATACACTTAATTTAATTTTTTTTTAAATGGTATTAATTTTTTGAACTATCTGGGTTGAACATTAAAGGCCGGCCCTTCGGGTCTGTGAATTAATATTGAGAGTGCAATCTCGGCTCAGAATGGCGGTCGGTTACTTTTTTATTCTGTACAAAGTAATGTATTTTACATTAAAATAATGAGTAAATACGATAAAATTGTAGTTGAAAATGACAAATTGTGGGTGAAGGTATCTCACGAGTTAATTTCATCGTCTCCTTGCATCTAGAATGAAAAGAGTTAACTTAGTGCTTTTGGTTAGGAGTCAAAGTATGTGAATATATACTGACTAATATGAAAATCTATGTGACTAATTTGAAAATCTATAATGGTGGTTTAAGGGTGTAATTCTGAATAATCTGTAGGTTTCTTCGCTATTTTGAAGGAAGTTAATAGCTACAGGATTTGGTAGATTTTCGAGAGGTTGAAGATAGTTTGAGCTGTTGTTTCGATTCCTTCGAAGACTATGGGCACTTTTATGTCTCTGCTTAGCGCTTTTTGTGGTAAACCCTAGTACTGCAGCAAACATTCTAAGAGTTTTTGATTAAAATCTCTGTAAACTGGTGAGGGTTTACCTGCTTATTTGGTCCCAAATTTGGATGACGTAAGTTCATATAGGGATTATTTTTGTTTTGTAGTTCAATAATGTGTTGCCTAGAAATATCTGGGAATAGTGTCCTAGTAGCATTTTAATTTGCAGTTGAAGTTTCTTCATCTTGACTAGTATATGAGGTTTCCAGGTAAGTCTTTTGTGCAGATGTATTCCATAATTCGGTTATTTTGACAGGACCTGTAGACCGATTAAGATTTCTTGGTTAAGGGGTTGGCAGTTGGGATGGGGGCAATGCGGCGGCGCCAGGCACTCACGAGGCAGGCACATGTTTGCGGACTCTCAACTTGGGCCCGAGACAGAACAGGTTTTATATTTTTTATCGACTTAGTTTAAATCTACTAAACATAATATTAACAATTGTAGAACTTATAACCCTGAATATTTTGTTAATTCAATGATTGTTTTGTGTTTCCGGGTGCGTTAGTTGAAAGATAAATTTACATTACGATTGTTAGTTTAAGATAATAATTAGTTCCGTATGCGTAATGCTTTTTTATCGATGAAAATATAACATTTTTGTAAATATTCCATTAAGATTGAGGACTTTGCTAAACAATAATAGGTTCCAAGTAAATGATTAATTCTTGTAAGAAACGTATTTAGAAATGATATTTTCTTCCTTTTCTACCACAGCAAAATTAATATGTAGTATTTTATTATTGTATACGTTTACCTGTTATATTTTAACCCATATATTCTATCTAATGACATTATATTACGTTTGTACGATGAATTTACATTACATTTGTTAGTTTTAGATAAATAAGGAAATTGATTATCAGTAGTTTGATTACGTGTTCCTGTGCATTGTTGTTTGAGACCTGAAGTGTTAGTAACATTCGCTGAAAAGTGACTGCAGAGTATAATTATTCGAACAGATTTTCCATCATTCCGTGCTTTATTTTATGCTTGTGTGCCGTTACTATTCTCTGCATCCACTGTTGCCATTGTCTTCACCGTGCTCCAGTTAGACCCCTGCATCCATTACTTGTGCCACCTAC